ATGAGAGAGGCGCCTTTGATCTGCGCCTCGCGGCTCACGTAGTCCAAGTGCGTGTTGAACAGGTAGAACTCTTCGCGTGAGCCTAGATGTCGCAACTTGACCCAAGTGCACATCTGAGGCATGGCAGAGAACCAAGACTTGCTTCCTGCATTCAGGCGAGAAACGGTACAAATTCCCCCAATACAGCAGTTTTTGGGGGCGATACTCTTGTATAGAAAAGCTTTTGTTTTGTTATTGCTTTATGAATTGAGTTTCAAGGGTCCAGCAAAGCAAGTCAAGTTAGCAAAATTTCAAGTCAGGTAAATAAGCATCAATAGAGAAAAGAAACACAAAGAATTACTATTGCAGCATTACAGGAAAGTTTGCTTTATGAATTGAGTTTCAAGGGTCCAGCAAAGCAAGTCAAGTTAGCAAGATTTCAAGTCAGGTAAATAAGCATCAATAGAGAAAAGAAACACAAAGAATTACTATTGCAGCATTACAGGAAAGTTTGATTGAAAAGTTAGTCTTTCACTTCCTTTCAAAACACATTAATACATTTTTATCAATCTTCTCTTTCCTGGGTCAATAAAATAATATCCATTTACCTCCAGAAAATTTAAGTTTTGAAGGTTCGAGAGGGAAATTCTTAGATTTAAAAAGGATCTTGATGCATTGTTTCAGAGAAAATTCACACAGGTAATTTCAAAAGATTTGGCATAGGTAGGTAATCAACTTGCATATGGAGGTTGACACAAAAACACTGCGCCATGTAAAAGAACTGTGCCAAAAATGAATTCACCACACTAATCAAAGTTCAAGAAAGCTTGATAACTTCTCCAATTTTCAAATTCCACTTTTTCAGCGCAAAGTACAATTGGGATGCATGAAGAAAATGAAAAAATTAAAAGCAACAATTTATGGTACATTCATGTACCTTGGAAACACGATGACAAACTTAACCAGTCTGTGTGCTGAGAAATATTTGCTGAGTTTGGTGGCATAAAGCACTAAATATTGCACCTGGTCTGATGAGCAGAGCCTCAAGTCCAGAAAAATTCTGATATTTTTATATCTTTCCTCCAAAACATTTTACTGAAAAAATTATATGTTGCTGGGTGGAATTTTTTTTTTTAGAATTCCTGCTGTAGGATTATAGTGTACTGCAAGGTTGTCAAAAGAAAAGGTTTGGATTTCCTGGATTTTAACCACACTTTGGTTAATCAGCCAAGGCTGCATTTTAGCAACCTTTGGTCAAACAAAAATGTGCCAGCCTGCAAAAGTGTTCTGGTTCTGCCATGGCGGATGAAAATTTGTGCATATCTCTGCTACACCTAAGCCTGTGTTATTTTCTTAAATATATTGGCATTTTCACCGAGAAAAATTTTTTCCAACCCTCGCGCAGTGAAGTCAGGATCTTTTAAGAAAAAAATTTTTGCTGGTCTGAAGTTTCCCACATTTTTACCTCGGATTTCAGGCGTTTCCGAAAGCCAAAAGTCTCCGCTTTTCAAAAGCCCCAAGACACGAATGTCGTAGAACACTGAAACAGATTCCGGGTTTTCCGAATCGTCTCTGAACGCATCCATCTGATCCATTTGTAAACTTTGCTGCCAGAATATTGAATGTCATCACAGTAAATTTCGCAGGCGTCCCTCTTGGCCCAGGATTTGCAGATATCAGGAACAGCAAGATTACCACAGAAGACGCAATGAGGTACACTACAGGATCAATTATTCGCTGAAGTTGCCGCCTCTGCAATCAATTGAACCGGCTATAGGACATGTTCCATTTCCTCACAGTTTGATCAATAAAAAAAATTGTAAATATATGAGTAGAAATCTCATCCGAAACTTGAATCAGGTAAAAGTGTAACAGGTTACCATTCAACCTCAATACCACAACTAAGACCTCCCTTCAAGTTAAATACCTACACTTGTCAATTTTGTGGATCCGTGTCTGAATTCCATCAGAAACAAAACATTAAAAAGTGTTCAATTTTTTGGATCACAAGCCAGTGCCAGGCAGAAGTGCTGCACCATGTTGGATAAGTGAAGGATTGATTGGGCAGTAAATAAACCTTGGCCAAATTCAGCATCCTCTCAACTCATTAAAAAACAATTCAAAGCGTAGAACATCTTCAATTACAATTTCCTGCAATATTCTTCTTTCTTTCCCAGCACTAATGCAAATGCTTGTTTTCCAACAACTTGAAACCTCTGTGACTCGAAATTTTTATTCTCCCTTGACAACAAGTTCAACTTGAAGACGAGGTTCAACTGTTTTCTGTGTTAATTTTTGAGATCATGATTGCTACGGAATTTTTATCTCGCAACAATAACTTACCAGAATTCGACATGGTGATCTTTGGCAAAGATAATTAATCCTTTTAATGCCCATATCCGCGAAAACATAAAAAGTGACATATTTAGACCATAAGACTTAAACGTGCAAACTGCCTCCTCTTATGACGCAACACTTCTCAAAGTACACGACTAAGAAGTTAGTACGTTTCAACTAGATTAGTCCTACAAGATCTTTGAATTTTGGAAAAAACTTTCGCGATAGTGAGGATGTCCTCATTGGGTGTGCAAGTAATCTCATAGATCTTTTTTTTAGAGGACCAATGCCGAATTTTGCATCAGAGATGGCTACATATATTTTATATCATATATGCTATTGTATTACTGTACTCTCTGAAGAAATACAGTATGCTGAAAATGTTGTGCATTTTAAATATGCTATAAAGGGTTCAGAAGTCTACGCGGTCTTGAATATTTGCAGAGCACTCGGAAAACCCACCAGGAAGCATCAGAATTTGTATTATTATTATCTTGGGTTTTTCAGAAATGAAAATAAATACTCAGTACAGTACATCAGATGGTGTTGAACAAATGGAATTGAATTAGTTGCATTTTATCTGCAATGGCTAATTTTCGTACCATTTAACTGTGCGTTGAATGCTTTCTCGAATCAGTCCACGAAAACCTAGCTTTTTTTTTTATCGGCTGTTCAATTTTTCGAGTACAAAATATTCCATGAGACAAATTTTAGTGCTTCCGCGATGAATTTTTAATTCAGAATTCCTCTTTCACGAACTCTATGAATTCTTTTTGGTTTCACTCCAAATATTTGAAATCTTTGAAAAAATTCCGCAGAGACGTGTACAAAAAACATTTCTCGAAATTAATTTCATCTCCATACCTATGATCATATTCTTATTTTGCACGTGTATTACTTGCAATTTTGGGCAAAATATCACAAAAGCTTATCTTTGAGGACAATTTTTCCGTTCTTTTCTTGTAATTGAAACGGTACACTTTTGAAAGATGAAATGCATCTGCATCCAAACACTTATTTATAACCGGTGAAATAATCCTGGAATACATTTTGAAAATTTCTGTCAGCCCTATTTATATGACTCCAATTTCCAGAGGGGTTCAAAATGATGGAGGCAGGGTTCATCAATGTGAGAGCCCTTCTATTTACACGTTTTTGAAGCATTTTTTCTACTACTGTTTGAAAAAAACCTTTAAATTACCAAAACATGCCTGTCGAATTTTTTCGGTTCGATCTAGACGAAAACTTTAGACTAGTACGAACAGCGAAACATCCAGGATTCGCGGTATTTTGGACAGGCAACGCTCTAATTTTTTGGCACTTGAGCAAGATGTGACCGTATTTTTACACGTGATCATGATAAGCATTCAAAACCAGGAAATTGTCTTTTTTAGAAACCGTTTTTATCGGTCACTCCAACACACGTATGACACAAAAATACACCGCTGTGAAGAGAGAATCCTCAGAGCAACATCACACTTTGGAAGTCGAATCCAGATCCAACGAACAATAAAAAGGGGGGCAAACAGCGAGTGAGTGTAAACATATGCATACTTAGTCGACCCGCGACGAGCACATATGTACCTCCGAGGTTTCTGAAAGACTTGGTAAGCAATCGGCCCGACGTCATTTCCGGTCAGGGCTCAGGACCCCATTCGCGTACTATACAGCACAAAGGCATCCACGACACCGACTATGTACATCTTTTCGAGACACATATAACTCGCCCTCAGGGCAAGACAAATAAATATAAGAGGTCTCGCAATTTTGGTAACTTTTCCACGCAGGCGGACCGCGGGTTTCTTTTTCGCGGGGTGGGGAAACCATAAAAATTCAACCCGACTCGAGGTAAGGGTAAGAGAAAAATCGGACACGAAGTAACGATGCCGAAAAAGACAAAAATAAATAAGAGAAAAAAATCTGGTAACTCGCTTACAAGATTCACTGAGAGGAATCATGCTCATAAATTTGAAAGACGAGGTGTGTTTTGCGACCTTTTTTTTTTTGCTTTTTGTTTGCAAACTTTTCAGGTAACTCTCTCCTGGTCGCTGACATAGTACTGCATCTGCCATCTTCCACGCCCCATTATCCACTTAAATAAGTTTCAGACGATGTTTCCATATAGAGTGTTTCAGCCTCAGTTTTCTCACAATTACATTCAACATCATCCTGATCTGCGTTCGTGGGTTTGCTCATCGAATGAGAAAACAAATTTATTTTGATCCTTGGCAAGGCGTTTTGATGAATCACGTGCTTCTCGAATGAACTTATCAACTCTTGAATGGTCAGTCAAAATGTTCCTGACGGCGGATTCCTTTTCTCTGATGACACTCGGCTCGTCGTCGTTTTCGTGGGTCCTGCTCTCGATCTCGTCTTCGTAGGAATTTAGACCGAAGGGTTGCGGCAAAATTGAGTCATAGGTACTTGTTGGATTCACTTCAGATTTCCTCCTTTTTTGACAGAAAAATAAATAAAATTAATTCCAGAGTTCAGCGAAACAGTTTTGCATGTTTGACGCACGAGTGCACGACACGTTTCCGTACTCGTTGATTTTGATGCACTATGACATAGATGTCGCCCGAATTATGCTACGTGTCATGATATGCTCGAATACATGTTAGCTGGGTTCATTTCGAAATTTCCAATTGCTGTGGGAAATAATGTCAGCCGATGTGAAAATTTTACAAAGTACGTTACATTTATTGCAAGGAAAAGCCTGTTGGGTTCCTTTTTGCTGATAAGTGTGACCTAAGGTCGGATTTTCCAAATTATTTTTAGACATGCAACGCTTTCTTTTCCTTTCTCATTTTTTTCCGAATGAATCCATTTATTCGTCGTTTGAAAGAATTTGAACAGGAAAGCACATTTATCCAATTTTCAAAACTCATCAAAGAAAGAATGAATTTCTCAGATAAATTTCAATAAGCTCATTCCCGTCATATGAAAAAAATGTTGTTACATTTAGGATTCAATAATCTTGTGACGTTTTTCGAAATACAGTACAAATACATGCAATATAACTCCACTACTTTTCAAAAATGTTTAGTGCCCTAAACTGAAAATTTATTTTCAGATTTCAGAGCCAAGTTTCTTATCGTTTCTTATTGGATAATTTTTGAGTGCCCATGAATGGATTCAGTAAAAGACTAAGATGATCATATTTTGAAAATACTATTTCAAAGTGCGAGTCGTTTTTGCTTTCAGTGCTGATTCAAAATTTTGGTAATGGCACTTGAAATTCGGATAATGTTTGTTGATACAGTATCATATTTGCCTTTTGTGCAGGACTTGAAAATAGAAATCTTTCATTGATCAGGAGGGACTTCAGAAGCTATGACTACCTATACATGAATTGATGTCAGTCTTTCCCCGCATAAAATCAAAACACGAAGCGTTCGATAGCACATACAGCATTAGCCTCGAAAACCAAAGAAAAACGACAGAATCAATTCATAAAATTTCTTATTCAGCTGCATTAAATGTTCAGAAATCATTCAAAGATAATATATTAATTTTAAACATCACGACAACAGTATATACGAGTTGACTTACTCGAATGCTCTGAAAAACTCGTCCTCGGCCCGCAACTCGTTCGTGTTCAAAGACTGCGTGGAACCCGGCGAATCGTTTTCCGAAGGTGAGAAAAAAGTTGGCCTCGAAATCTCTCGCCAGGGAATGAAATCCATGCTCGGAATATTCGGACTTCTGCACGGATGTCTCGCATTTCTGATTGTGATGAAGAAGAAAAGAAACAAAAACAGGGATGACTCAATTAGAATTTCTTGAAAAGAAAGAGTATTCCTCTTTGTTTGAAAGTTCGAAAAGCCAAATACTGACCCTTCGACATTTGCCATCTCCATAATTCGCAGCTGGATCGTGTCGATGTCGTCCAGGTTGTCGCACATGACCCGAGACAGCGACGATCGTCGGATTTGGCTCAGTTGTGCTTGAGTGAACGACGACCTGAAGCCTCCATTTTCATACCAGAATCGATCACCTAAAAATAAAAATTCAAAATGAGTACTTGCCTTCATTTTAAACAATGAAAATAGTTTATATGCTCGATTCTAGGGTGCGACGTGTTTTCTCTTAAAAGTACAGTACGCCAACAAAATAATACGGGTTTTATTGAGGAAAGGCTATGGTTACTTTTAAGGTGCGGTTTAATATACTGTACACTCACATTAAAGGGTGTCAGAAAAAAACCAACATGTATGCATAATGCCGACGTGTAGAAAATTCCGGAGGGGAAAATCTCGTAGTTCCCCTCGTCCTCTCTTTCATCAATGAATGCCGTAAGCTGATTATATCGAATTCAAATCGAAGCTCAACAAGAGTGTTGGGAAAAAAATAAATATAGTCGCAAAAATACTTTTATCTCATTACCTTGCTCCAAATTTTTTTTACAGCACAATTTGCTAATACGATAATTTTATCTAGTCTTTCTTTGGATTGCGGTACTTTCTTCATCTTCAGTTGAATTCTTCATTGCATTCCTAATTACTGTAATATAATTTCCATGGATGGTAATCTCTGAATATAGTTGACTTCCACCAATCCTTTTTTTTTGCACTGGCATTTTCTTTCTTGGAATTATTGTCATGAAGACTCCGAAAGTTTTCTCTCAACTAACTCCGAAAGTTGATCATGTTGATTGATAGTAAGATATCAAATCAGAGGAAAAGTCGACGGATTGTCTGCTGTAAAAAATACCAAGGAGGTTATTATTTTGCATTGTAATCAGTTATTCCGGAGTGGCATGCATTTTTAATCAAAGCAGTGTGATCTTTGTGATTTTTGGTGGCTTTTCAAGATTCAAATTTTATCATTGTTCCTCGCATACAGTAGCTGAATTTTCATCACGAAAATTTAAATTCTTTCGTGGACTAAAGTTTATGTTTCGTTTCCATAATATGCGGCCGTTAATCGATAATATATATTCTGTATTTTAATGTTTCCTCGAAAGCTTTTCGGACCTCGACGAAGATTCATGAACTGCTGTGCTAAAATGCACGCGAAAGTCGGTCCAACGAGTCCTCCGACAATCGGTCTCTCCGACAGTCCTCCAGTGAACAGGTCGATGTCTTGCACGTCTCTGCAAAATTAATATTCAAAATTCGTTTTTCGATTCTTGTCGTAAATTTAAAAAAAATGAGGTCTCTCACGAATAAGCCATTCGCAGTCTGCCAACTGTGTCGTCGTGCATCACATCCAACAGGTCGCTGAAATTTCGCACTTTTTTCAGCGAACACCGCTCTCGCCAAATATTGTAAGGAGGAAGTCCGTGATCCCGACCACGTTGGATGTTGATTGACACTAAATCCATACCGAAGTCTCCGTCTGAAATAAATAATAGATTGCTCGAATGAAAAAATATTATTCCTCAGCTACTATTACAGAGGATGCCGTGTTAATTTTTTTAAATTAACAGATGCGTATCCCAAAGGAGTGCGTGGCAAAAACAGCTGAACAGCGAAAAGAAAAAAATTGCGCAAAAGGAAGGAATGAATTAACACAGTAAATAAATAATATCCAAAATATTATTTCAAAATTTATTTTAAGCGCAATAGTTTTGTGCAAACCGAGAGAATAAAGAACGATTTCTCAATTCAATATTCATGAATAAATCATGTTCAGCAATTAGGGATAAACTAAAACTTTTGCTCTCAAACGTGAAGCCTGACAGATGCCCTCGTTTCAAAAAAGTATATGTAAGAAAAAAAATGTTCGCGGCAGAACAGTTCCTAAGATATTGGCAAAAAAAATAAGTTGTACAAACAATGTCGAGCGCTACCAGAAAATGATGCACTCCGAACACGTTATGGTATTTATCTCAGCATAACTTATAAAGAAGGTCACGTATAGATACTTGCTGAAGGTTTCCAGATTCCAAAATTTCCGTTTTTCCTGGCTCTTTGCTTTTCAAGAATTCTTGACACATATTTTCATATTCTAGAAAGCTGTTTCGAGACACGCAGCTTTGAAACGCGCGCAAATTTCCAGAGATATTTTACATCCTCGTGCAATTTCCGTTGTCTCCAACTTACCGGGAGCCTGAAACAAGTGGTTGGTCAATTGATCGGTGACAAATTCGTCGCGGTTTTGAGCTTCTTGGGCAGCGAGTCCGAGAGCCAAACGGTCCACGGCTCCAGTTCCGTGCAGTGGAGCAGGATCCATCATTTCCCGATGCAATTCCACATCTATATACGCGTTCAAAATTATTTAGAATTACGCAAAACAAATTCCCTCTTTGAGGCGAGGATCGTTCGCAAACGGTCCAGAAATTTCACGGAGTAGATTTCAGCCGGAAATAATCCCGAATGCACATCGTCCGCCATAGCAGCGGTAAACTTAAAACCACGGGAGTGCTCGCATAAATTCCGAAACAACCGCTTTCGCGAAGTAATTTTACGCAAGATTAATAATCCATAAAATTTAGTCTGATTTTTTATGTTCAACATTATCAGAAAAATTTACTTCGTATCTGTATTAGGACGACTAAAAAAGTTGAGCCCCGGAAACCTTGAGGCAATCTATCCATCGATTTTTTTTTTCATCCGAGAACGCGTGGTGAGATTTGAGTGATCAGAAAATAATTTTCAATTACCAAATGGCACTATTCTGTGAAATTTGTCACATCGTTTCAGCTTTGGTTGCACCAGGGAGTGTCCAAATCGGAATGCGGCTGTTCCGAAAGCATTTGCCACCGTGGGGTTGATGGAGATGTTGTATCCTTCATAGTACCCGTTGCGTTGCAATTTCAAATTGAAAAGCTCTTGCACACGCGAACCTGCGAAACAAACCAGAAAAATAAAATTAATGTCAAGTTTCATTAGGACTTTCACCTGGAAAATACGAGGAGGGGCGATTCAAAACTTTCGACAGTGCTGCCTGTACTTGGCGTGCTTCGGGGAAATGTAATTTCAATTCTGAACACTCAAAATCACTGTAGGATGAAAACAAAAACCAGAAACAAGCCTTGTTCTTTTGATTCAACGATTTTTAAATGACTGACCTAACGGACATCATTTTTCTCACATGAAATTCGTGGAAAATGTTGACAACCTTTATGACTATCATAACAACTGACATGAACACAAAATATTTCAAAATCAAGATTATCACGTAAAAACTTTCATCAAAATAAAAAATGGTTGGTATCACCAAGACTGAATCGATTTTACGAAACGTGCACCATATTTCCTCATAGGTATGACATGTATCGAATTTCGGTTTTTTTCTTACATTTCATCTCGGTTGGAATTTGGAATTTTTGAAAAGTTTTTAATCTCGTACGACGCATCATATAGATAATTGACGTGAACAGAAAATTTTCCCGGCTGAGGAATGGCGTGTAGAATACTTTGATCGAGCTTTGAGAATGTTTGGTAGACCTAAGACTGAATTGATTTTACAATACATGAACTATACTGTATATTTTGTCTGCACCTATGATGCTTTTCTCTAGAGTTTCAGTTCATTTTTTTCTTAATTTCCATCTCTCTTGAGAAACAGTTTGATCAGCGGTCAAGGAATTATCAGATGATACTTTTAAAAAATTATGGCCATCCCTGTTCAGTTCTCCAAGACACAGCAAGAGATAAAAGTTCTGATCTGATAAGAAACTAATGAGCCAACCTCTGTTACATCAACTTCATTACGGTTTGAGCTGACGGTTCTCGCGACGACAACAAAAAAAGAAAGGGAGTGCAGGGATAGTTCTTCAGTACTCAGGTATCTCGAAGTACCTGTTCATGTACTGTACAGTTTATTTGCATGTGTCAGCTGACACGGGGAGATAATACTCAGGAAATGGATGACAACTCGATACCGGAAACGAAATTTATCGCGGAAGGAACGAAGATCGAGGCGGCTTTTTTTTTTTTTTTCTCGATGGCCTCGAGGTTTCCGGATTCGCTCCGGCCAGCTCACTGGCTTTATCGCTGTACAGTATAGCGAAATCTGGGGCTTTGGGTTTATTGATGGAGAATTGGGTCGGTTCTCCACCTCTATTTCTAGGCCAGTGGGCCTCACAACAGCCCACCTTTATTCTATTCTGCCCTATACTTTACGCCGCGCCGTATATAATTAGCTTTCCGTCGTCACGAAATGCGAAACGTTTTTCGGGGAATTTCCGAAGGAATGTTGCAAGAGAGAAGCAACAAAAGAAATAAAGCGAGAAAGAACGAGACAAAACCTGCGAGAAGTCACGTTTCATCGCACCATTCCGCGAAGACTAGACCCCGAATGGACGAAGGAAAGCATTATTCTTTCTCTGGGGCATTCCGAGAGAAAATTACCCCTGAGCTTTTTGACAGCGAACTGTAAGATATTTGATGCCCGCAGATTTAACTGGCTTCTCTCGAACATTCGGGTCTTCGAGCGATTATTATTACGGTATTACTTTTTTTTTTTTTAGCTGTTACAGCAGCAAGTGGCGAGATCAGAAATAAGGCGAGTAATAAATCGTGATGGGAAGAGGAAACGAGTTTCTGACATTGGATCACTAGGCCAGTGGCACAAGGAAGCACTTCCGGGAGGCAAATTTCGGCCTAAATCTCAGGAACCTGCCTCCGGCCCCCGCATAAATCGCCTTCAGCCTCCATCATGAATAACTAAAACTACACACACTTGTGGGCCTTTTTGAATTTCATTCTGGAACTTGGTCGAACATGTTTCTAACATAGGAAACGATCCGAGTCTGTGACTCAGCGTTTCCCGCATTTCTTGGAGAAAAAGAAAGAACCCCCCGAAATGAAAGACAATTTGTTCGGGTCATCCAGGGTATCTTCAAGTTTTCGGCAAGAGGACTTGTTTTTCCCTAGAAAAAAAATCACCATTTCCGACATGTTTTGAGAAGTATCTACTGCCATGGTTACCAACATATTGAAACGGGTAATATTTTCTGTCAACTTATAACTTTGACTTTTGTGCATATGTGGCCCTCGTCTATTCCTTGAAGGCCCAAGAAAATTGCATTCGATTCTTCTTCCATTTTTTCTCCACAAACACACATTATTGTGAAATAGAATCCTGAAACATTAAATTCCAGAACTCCTCTTGAAGAAATACAAGTCATCTTAAACTGTGTTGCCTGATGGTATCTGAATAATTGCAGCAATTAATCCCAACCTAAAGCATGAATTAACCTCAATTAGCGTTGTTCAAGAGCCTTTAAAACAAAATTGCACCCCAAAATTATGTTTGGTCTCAAAAGCATAAGCTGAGAGCCTCACTTGATGTACTCCGCAGATTTTTTCCTGCAGTTTTACTTCTGAGCCTTGTCAACTTCACGGCATTCTCAGAAAAGCCTGTTTGGGCTACTTTTTATGTTAATATCAGTGTCAATCAATCAGGGATTATGTAACTTTTCAACGTGACTCGTCAATGTACTTCATTTGAATGAACTCAGACGTACTGTCGAACCACGATACTGTAATTAGTAGAACTTCAACAGACCAAGGAAAAGATCGACTTAATAGAGAGGTTTCGAGTTAGGGACTGTTGTTGGGGACAGAAATAAAAAAAAAAACAGAACATTTTAATAAGTGATATACAATACTATAAACCTTAAATTGCTTCTTAAATGATTTGAAAGAATGCTGAACTCGGAGATAAGGGTTTATTTGCCGGATAAGTCTTTCACTTCCTCTCAAAACACATGTGCTAACATTTTTCTTCCTTTTTCCTGTGTCAATAAAATAATCGCCAAAATGCCTCGTGAAAATTCGATTATTTATGGAGGTTTGACGAGGGAAGCCTTTGAGTTGAGGAGGATTTTAATTCATTTTTTAAAAAGAAAATTCAGTCAGGTACTTCAAAAAAAATCTGGCTTCGGGAGGTTCGAGGCATCGAGTTTCTGCATAAAAATATGTGCGTCCAACTGCTGAACACTAGCTGACAAACTTATATGCAATTCTTATCCGCGCAGAAAACACAAAATTCAACTATAATACAGCAGCACGTTCGCATTTTTCCCCCTTCGCTATTTCCGTGAAATCATGGTTTTCAACTCGACATTCGACTACTGTACAATATTTTCGTTGGGGTGTGTGTGTGTGTGTGTGTGTGTTGCTCCGGATCAACGTGTTTTCCTCTGAAACAAAGTGGTTTCTTCTGCATTCCTGCCTCGATTGGAAGATTAGGAAGAGACTGAGGCCGACCGGTTACTTGACTTCACGGAACGAGGCCCTCGCGTAGTTTGAAAGGGCTTGTCCCACAAAGCCGCACAGCAGAGCAAACCGCGAGAGGGAGGGGGAGAAAAACACCATAATTTGAGGACGGTGACACGAATGTTGACCGGCAGCATGAAATAAAACATAAAAATAAAAAAGTACGGTGTACAAGGAGAGAGGCAGAAGGAAAAGGAAATAAAAAGGAGGCATTGAAAAGGAGAATGTATAGGTAGCGCGAGAAACAGAGAAGTCAGTGAGCAAGAACCAAGGAAGGCAAGATCGTTGGCGAGCACCTGAGCGTCCACCTGAGCGCGGGGTGAACGATTTTCGGGGCTCAGCTGAGCGACGTCCGAGAAACGGTGTAGGATGAAACACGTGATCAGTTATCCTCTACAGTATATATACAGTGAAGCCCCCGACTTATGGAAGATTCGACTTGATAGCTCAAGAGATCTGCCCCGACATCTGGACAATTTATCGACATGTGGACACTTCATTCAAATGTTCCAAACAAATGGAAAATTACTTTTTCTAGATATTCATGTCTCTTTAAAAATTTAAATGACAAGGAAATTTTATTAAAAATGTATTGCAATTCCTTATAAAAAACAGGCAACTTAGGGACTTTAGATAACTCACAAAATCTGCCTGGCATCTGCAAAATATCTCAAGATACGGACACTTCATGAAAAATTCCAAACAAATGAAATTTTTATCTATCATTTTGATGTCTCTTGAACTATAAGCGAGTTTTCTGTAATTACAAAAATAGAAAGACATTTTCATCAATTCTTTATAATTCATTACCCATAACAGACTAATAATAAGGTGCATCATTTTCAGAGGTCTTATTTCCGTCATCTGAGCACAGTATAGACGAAATATTTGAGCTTGTTCTTTGATTTTCGGGCTCCTTTTCATAATCAGTTTTATGGAACAGGTGTTCTAAAATATTAGAAATAATGATTGAATAATAGTAAGGCCTCGTGAAATGTGAAAAATCGAGTTAAGGAGGTTTAAAATTCATTGATTTTGAGGTAATTTGACGAAGATCACCTGGAAATTATAACGGTATTAATGAGTCGCATTACTTCAAGAGATTCGAATTAGACAGGACAGGACCAACCGTTTTTTTTTTGCCTGATGGATGCAAACGCATTGCGTCTTCGAATATGCATTTGTTTCGAACCTTGTCTGATTTATGATAAATAAATAAATAGTTCTTCGAGCATTTTAATCAGTCAAATTAAGAATAATTTCTCGGTTTCAAATTATGTTTCCCAAACAGTCGCCTGAAGAATTTGGATTCAACCCGTCAATTTCACGAACAACAAAAAACTTCATGTCAAGGTTCAGTGATGATAGAAATTTAGAACCTTCCCTCGTATAATATATATTTGTAAAGAATTCAAAGTCACTGCTTTGAGGAAGATATCGTGACAACGAGTTCACTCGAACGATCATCAAAATTCAACGTAAAAACTGAAAACCTCAATCATATTTTGATCGGAAAAATTGTCCCAAGATTTTTCAGGAATTCTCCTGTAACACACAGGAAGCCAAAGATACCAGTTCTTCATTCTGTACTCCTCTTTCCGGATTTTAAAATTTTCAAAACGTATTCAGTTCTCTGCACGAAGCCCTCCTGACCGACGCATATCCAACAGTATACCAAAATTATACATCAGTATAAATTAAATCGAAAGCTGGAATTTTCTTCGCGGTCGATCAACTCCTCGTGGGCTCCACGTCATCACCAGCATTCCTACCGCAGAGGACCCAGAAATGCGGGAATACACAATAATCGCCAAAACTTCAGCTCCTCCGACCCCGGAGGTCTTCCCCCTTTTTACAGCTAATGTTCTTGGTCTAACGGCGTGATGCATCACGACCAGAGAACCGCACTGACTTCAAGTTTTTCATCAACTCTTCTGCTCCTCACCTCGCCCTTTGTCGGCCTATGGGTAAGTAACGGATTGCCCTCTCAATTTTTCAGCAAGATAAACATTTTTTTTTAACCGTGCTTACTAGAAGATAAGGCGCAATTTGTCTTGAGAATTGGCTGAAAGAAGCAACATTATTAAGACGCCTTCTCTCTCTATACCTCAAAATTGGCCTTTGAAAAATCCCACGGCTTCTTAAACTACTCTGGGATTTTTCTTCTGATGACGACGTCTTGGAATCACAGGTAAATGACATGATTACTTCTGACCCCAAAAATAGTGTGAATAAATGCATATCAACTTAATTAGTAAAACTATTACGGTTATTTGAACACAAGCTAATGAAATATGTTGGAAGTGTTCGTGGTAAATTTATCTTTCAGCTTATTGTGGCATCTGCTGAAACATGATTAGAATTTTTAAACGTATCTCAGGCTGAAGAAGCTAAAAATTATGAAAAAGAGTCTCTTATTGGCAGGTAATTCTACAGATTTTGAGGCACACCAAAAAGACTTGCGTTCCGGTAAATTCACAAAAATTTTAAACGTCAATGAGAAGACGAGGAAACTGTTTTGGTCCCTGTAACAACAATTACTTCTTCAACGTCTATACGACGCACTTATTCGATCCAATTTAATTTCTTTAGCATCAGAGGAATATGTTGAAACAACTTGGGTTTGTCGAATCAGTTTTGTCGAACTCTATCGCGAAAATATATGATTCTAATTCGCGTGACCAAGAAATTGAAATGATATTGAATATTTTTACAAAATAAATGCTGGTTTCTTATTTACTCAAAATTTTGAGTTAGTTGGTCAGAATCAATCCTACACTCATTAACGAGCGAATCCAAGACGCCCTCGGAATTTCTAGAAAAATAGAGTACTATTTGAATGATTCATTACATTAAAACAGAATAAAGGCTACTAAGATCGGCGAAGACTTCACTGCAGAAAAATAAAAGCAGTCATTCGACGGAAATTTTTTGATTCCATTTGGTAAAGCAAATACTGTATATAGTACAAGGAAATATTTCATCTTTTGGAAATTCAAGTATTTCAAGGGGAATCTGTTTAAACACATTTTTTTTTAAATAGCCAAGAGCATGATAAGAAAATGAAAAATATGGCTCGAGTTGTTTCATGTCAACATTGTTTCCGATCCTACGCTTTTTTTTTTTTTTTTTTTTTTAATGTAACGGAGGGAAGTCATCTGAAGTTCGTCCCTACTGTCGCCAGCAAAAAAGCAATGTTTCGCAGGATCCAGTTGTCGACATTCGCTCGTTTGTTCTTCCAATGGTGGTAACAAGGATCGTTTTCGTAAAGGTAACGGAGGGAAGTCATCTGAAGTTCGTCCCATGGCAACACGCACAACGTTGGCCTAAGTGGCTACAGTTCGTGATTTCCGCTTTGCTTGGAGCTATTTTGCCTTAGCCTCAAGCCAGAAAACTATTTATTCACTCGAGCGTTCAAGCATGACATGAAAAACATCCCACGTTTGGCTTTTTCTCAGTCTTTCGAGCTAAAATAAAAAATAAAATGAAAACATTTTTAAACCCCCTCCAGCGATCCCGCGTTTTTGTTTTGTTTTTTACGTTATTCAGTCGCTTGCTCTTTGCTGTACAAGATTTTTTCCTCAATTAATCCCCAGTGAGCACAAAGTTATCCAAAACATGCCCGAAACTCATCCAAGTGAGTTCCATGGACATTTTTGGAACTCATTTGGATGAGTTCAGGACATTTTTGGAGCACTTGTCCGAAAAAATGGTGCTCTGGCGGACATCCAGAAGCAGTTGTCTTTCGGATGACTTTTTGATAAAAATAGGATAAGTTAAAACCGATTCTTATCCGAAGTTATCTGAGCAAACTAGTCCGAATGTTGTCCTAAGAAACGTGACGGAGTCCATTGTTTTACAGGGTAGGCGTAGCATAAGGAAAACAATTTCACATAGATAATCAAAAACTGTATCACGAGTACTGTATACAATTCTGAAAATTATTCAAGATGAAAATTTCCAGATTTTGCCCTAAAATGATCCTAGCTGACATCCCCGCGCATTCAAGAATCAAAAATGAAGTTCCACAGTAAAAAAAAAAAAAGTAAAGGGGGTCATGTTTTCTCCAGAAGTATGTTTAATCAAAGTCCTCTTCCTGGAAAGAGAATTTAAAAGGCTGGTCTTCGGATCCCTTCCAATGTTGCATTCGAGTGAAAGATGGGATTCCGAATGTCCAGAGACATCCATGCATCATGCGTGTGTTTTACTAGGTAAAAAAAAAAAAAGGGGCGCATGATTTGCCCCCCTGTGGGTTCTTCTCCACGCACTGGCCCCGAGGGGATTTTCCGACGGCGTTCGGTCGTCCCAGAAACGTCATTACGAACCGGTTTTCCTCCTTACCCCGCAGGGTTTCCGTCGCCACGTCACGATTTATAAACGACCAGCTATTCAGAATGACCCCCCTAAGAGACCCAGCAATCCGGGGCTACGAAGAAGTGAACCCAACTAGAGACGCGAGAGAGGACATTCATTCAATGAACCCGGTCGCTTAGCATTCGGAGAAGAAACAAGCTCGGCTCCGAGTTGGGGAGGAGAATTACTGCTTTATAGCCTCGTGTTCATAAATGTCAGATTAACGCTTAGTATTAGTGGGCTCGTTCTGCTTTTCAAACTGTCCCGTTTCCTCGGGGTTAGCGGCGAACAAGATTGCTCGGTGAATGTTTGTTCCACTAGCTTCGAGAGAGAATCCCCGGGTTTTTAATGGTTACAGCTCTGCATCAGGCAAACAAAGTTCTTCTTTCTACAGGGAAATGACTGAGTTCACCTCTTCACTTCAAGCACGGCTTGCAAAAATCACAAGGTGGAAACAAACAGGCTCAATTAACCTTCATCCTAATTTTTTTTTTTAAACAATGATGGGATTTCTCACACTGGTGGTACCCTGCAATTCAACCCTAATCTGTTGCTGAACTACAGTCAAATTGTGGAAGTGGCTGAAATGGGAGAAAACAAGATCAAATAGCATGTTTTCTACATGACATTTGACATTTTGTGTCTCTCTGTCAGTCAAATTGCGCAGCAGAAGTCAAATTGTTCTTTTTTGCTTCCCAGAAAATTTGACCATCAAATTGCACAATGGTCAAATTGCAGGGGGTCAAATTGAAAGGTACCACCTTTTCATGTACCCAATGAAAAATGTATCCCCAATTATGAATGCAAATACATTAAATTTGAAATTCCAAAGCCAAACTTCTAAGGACCATCCGAAAATTTGAATTAATAGGTTTGAGGAAGCAAGCAAAGAATTCCAGAACATTATGATTGATTGGGCATTCAATTTTTTCTTAAATGAGTTGAGATGCTGAACTTGGAGGCAAGGTTTCATTTGCCAAATTAGTCTTTCACTTCCTTTCAAATCACATCAAGTTACATTTGAAGAGCTTTTCTCTTCCATATGTCAAGAAAAATATAAATGACCTCCAGAAAATTCAACTTATGAAAGATTTAGGGGAAACGCCTTCCAGTTATGGGGGTTTTCAATGCCTAGTTTCTTAAGAAATCCAGACAGGTACTGTACTTATTGAAATAAATTTGACATTGTTTTGTGACATAAATTTGACATTGGGATGTTGGAGTTATTGAGTTTCAGCTGTACAGTATTTACTACTCATGATGAAACTGGATCCTTCACTCACTCATGAGTTATGCTTTTCTCAACATGTGACCTTTTCCGGCTCAACTTCAAATATGTTACGAAGAATCGTCTTAAACAAATCTGAAATTTAAGCAAATATAAGCCACCCTTCTCGAAAAACTATGATTCAGCTCAGGGGAAATGAGGACGACGAAAAGTCCGCCGAATGAACAACACCCAAGAACTTTCCCAGAGTTCATTTCTTCGAGTTTTCGGGTGGATTTCAGTAAGTTTTGAACCTTTTTTGCAGCCCTAATTTATATTTAAGACTATGGTAGGTAATATTGGAGTACATTTCCGATTTTGAATCTTTGAGGAAGGTTTGTCGAAATCAGCTACATATTAAGGAAGCAGTCGCGTCGGTATCTCCTTCAACAGATAATCAGAATTTTTTGTGCTTGAATATATTCATGTTTTTATTATTATTTTGTGAAGAGACGCTCACCAAGAATCACCGGGAGGAACTCGTTGAAGGTAATATGCTGCATCAGGGCCCCGACAATTTTCCTTGCCTCTTGAAAAATCCGCTCGTCTTCCCAATGTCGGTTCAACTCTTGCAAAATTTCCGCTATTCTGTTGTGCTCTCGCATCCACAAAGTGTGTAGAATCGCCAACCCTTGGAAGAAAAATAACGGGGGAAAGAGCACTAGACCACCTTTCCGAACTACGTTGTTCAATGTTTTTTTTTTTCTTGATGTATCAACAGAATTCGACAGCAATTCATCAACCTGTAGGTAGCACAAACCTGGCTGTTCATTAACGCGACTGTCGCCAGCAAAAAAGCAATGTTTCGCAGGATCCAGTTGTCGACATTCGCTCGTTTGTTCTTCCAATGGTGGTAACAAGGATCGTTTTCGGAATAACGGCGTGTACTTCAACATTCCTGCATACACAGAAACACAAAACAAATTTGCATGTTGTAAAATCAGAGCTTCCGAGTCATTCAACTGCTTAAAAATCATTTTCTCGGGAAAAACATCATTTGAGTTTAAATGTTGATAAGTAAGTGCAACTGTAGGCATTCCAGTATTTTATTTTCCGAGGGAAAGCATATTAATTAAACCATTCCCTCAACATCTATCCGTTAATGAAAAAATCGGCGACCAACAGTGAAGAATTTAAACATTGACAAAATCTGCGAGATGTCAATTCTTCGTCTCCCTAAGTTATTTAATACTTATGAAAATGTACAGTATATGAAAATGTATCTATATTTGCCATTTTATTCTGTATCAGAAAAGTGTTGACGGCTCCTTGAGAAAATAAACAGTAACTTCGGTGGTTGAATTTCAATGGGATGTTTTTTGGATCTTCTCACTTTATCGCAATAACATTTCATCTCCAAAAAACGTTTGCTCATTTCAAAAAAAATAATAATTTTGGATTGACCTGAAAAAGTCCGGAAAAACGTTCATCATACGGAAAGCAATGTCATATCGTTTTAACGTTAACTTTGAAATTACTTTTAAAATAAGCCTTCAAGGGAAAACAGAAATGAAAATGAAACAACGTGCGTTTTTTCCCCTAATACCAGCATCGAACTTCAGAAAAACAGATCATTTCGACGACAACGAAAACGGAAAATAATATGTGTTGTCAGCCCAAAATAATTGGTTTGACTTGTTCGCGGTAAAGGTGGGTTGTTCGAATGGAAAGATATGAGAAGGGAAAATATCAGTATAAAAACTTGAAGCATGCTAAGAAAAATACGTGGACACGTTGCATCGTGTCTGACCTAGTATACTTCTTTCACCTATTGCCAGAGTTGTTGGCTCTTATTTTGAATCAGCTAATCCTGTAGCATCTGAATAAAAACTATATGCAGTTATGGATTCATACGAATGGCTGCAAAATACAATTTTATTTTTCTCGCATGATTTTTTTTTCTGGCCCCCACGAATAATTTGCTATGAAATCCAAGTTACAGTACACGTGGATTCTCTACAACAATATTGAATTGTTTTTGGTCCCGCGCGTAGGGTTCTCTCCCCAGGCTACGGGGGTTCTCTAAAAAAAATTATCTCTACAAATAATTTTTATGGTCCATCCAGTTTTTTGCCACCAAAATTAAATGCCATTTCGACAGTTTTCCTTGTTCACCATTGCATGAAAAGTCCAAGCAGGTACCAGGTGGAAACTTTCTACAGCAATCTTGTCTATAACTAGTTTCTCTGAACAACAAATTTCTTGTGGTCCCAGCAGGCCTGTGCTATAGGGGTTCTTTACAACATTTTTTTAACACGTTTTTATTAACTCGCTTTCTTGTCCGTTTGTTTGTCCGGTACGTTTGCTCATTTCAAAAAAAATAATAATTTTGGATTGACCTGAAAAAGTCCGGAAAAACGTTCATCATACGGAAAGCAATGTCATATCGTTTTAACGTTAACTTTGAAATTACTTTTAAAATAAGACTTCAAGGGAAAACAGAAATGAAAATGAAACAACGTGCGTTTTTTCCCCTAATACCAGCATCGAACTTCAGAAAAACAGATCATTTCGACGACAACGAAAACGGAAAATAATCTGTGTTGTCAGCCAAAATAATTGGTTTGACTTATTTGCGGCAAAGGTGGGTTGTTCGAATTGAAAGATATGTGAAGGAAAAACATCAGTTTAAAAACTTGAAGCATTCTAAGAAAAATACGTGGACACGTTGCATCGTGTCTGACC